GCTGTGGCTACAATGTAGCTTGCCATCACCAGTGTGTGAATGTGTGTGTGAATGGGTGGATGACTGAATGTAGTGTAAAGCGCTTTGGGGTCCCTAGGGTCTAAGTGAAGCGCTATACAAATACAGGCCATTTACCATTCCTGTTATGCAGTTGTAAAAACTTTTAAAAACAAGAATTCAGTTATTAGTCAAATAAACAATAAAATAATTTTCATTTTTTAAACAGATTTGTCCCAGATCTCTAAATTTCAAGTACTTCAGCTCAACTGAAATATGGTCCAGTCAGTCTAAATGTCACCAGTCTCGCTCAGACTACTGTCAAAGCTCTGCTGTAGGTGAAAGTTGAAGATACTAAGTATTTCCAACGCACGCGCATGAATCTGAAGTGTTGCTTGATGGACTCCTAAATTTACATCTCATGTAAAAGAAGATATAAAAGAAAACATGAGCAGCTGAAACTACCGCCATCTACTGGCCTTTGGCGGAAATGAGGAACAGCATGACTGTGACTGCGAGTGGCGAGTAGCACTGGTTGTCTCCATCGCAGTTTACTGTACACTGAATAAATACGCTTGTAGATTTCGCAGAAAAAACATTGACATGACATTGTGGGTGCGATTTGGTGTGAGCCTCCCTTCGGTTAGACTTAATTTGTCATTAACAAAAAACAACCTTTCCACATTTAGACAATAGAAGAGTGGGCGGAGCCACTGAACTTCGCGCCGTCCAGCGAACCGTCTGTTTTCTTTTACGTCCGCCGATCACACATAATAACACGGCTCCGTGGGCTTGAGGTTCATTCGACTTTGTTCGTTCGGAGAAGGAACTTTAACCATGAGTGGAAGAGGCAAGGGTGGCAAAGGACTCGGCAAAGGAGGCGCCAAGCGTCACCGTAAAGTTCTCCGTGATAACATCCAGGGCATCACCAAGCCCGCTATCCGTCGTCTGGCTCGCCGCGGCGGAGTGAAGCGCATCTCCGGTCTGATCTACGAGGAGACCCGCGGTGTGCTCAAGGTGTTCTTGGAGAACGTCATCCGTGACGCCGTCACCTACACTGAGCACGCCAAGAGGAAGACTGTGACCGCCATGGATGTGGTGTACGCTCTGAAGAGACAGGGCCGCACTCTGTACGGTTTCGGCGGTTAAACTCCTTCACCCTAATCCATCAAACGGCTCTTTTAAGAGCCACCCACTTCACTTTGAGAGCTTTGTTCTGTGATTGTGTTATTTTAGTCATGTTTTGGCAGAAACTTCTAAAAGTTTTAGTGAAATACCTGCCAGCGTCCCCCCACCAACTTCTGAAGTAGTGGAAAGTAGTAGTACAAGTAACTTCACATAATTTACCGACTTACACTGTCAACATATTTAAATAACTCTTTCCCTATAAGAGATGAAGGTGTTTGAAATGAAAGGCACACATTTAAATACTAATTGACTCCGCCACAAACTGGTCTAAAGCTTATTCAGACCTGATCAATACCACTGTTTAATTACTCTCCTACATCAGGAGTGTAATCCCTTTGAATCACCTCGTAGTTGAATTGTGCTATATAAATAAACTTGCCTTGCCTTAAAATCACAACATAACCTACATAAAAGGAACATTATCTAGCAGAGAGATTTTTAGTACCTAAATCTTATGCGAAATGCAACATGTCTGTTTAAAGTGCAAACAAAGTATCAAAGGCTGTTATTGTAAATGCTCTGTTGGAACAACGCACATCACAAACAAGTTTTGCCAGGTTGTCTACATTTATTAGAAATGCTTCCAAGCTTAAAAAAAAAACAAAAAAAAAAAACCCTTTAAGACAGACCACATTTACAGATCAGAAAATACACCATACACAAAGTGTGTTTTCATGTAGCGTGCAGCTGTGGCTCGCTGGCGGTCTAAATGAATCTCAGACCTAAATGAGAGTTTGTAGCGATTTATAATTATTATTAGTCTAAACCTCTTTAATC